AATACCTCAGCTGCCTCCCCTCTGAGTCATGCTCTACACTGTGTTTTGGACTTCTCACGGGGTTGAGCTGGTTGAGCTCCAGCTGCCCCCAGTAATAACTGGCTGCCTTCTCTCCCATCCCACTCCTCTCATCTGCTACCAGTGCTTCCCAGGCTCACCTCCCAAATGAACTACTCACACTTGAGTCCCTGTCTCAAGGTTGGCTTCTGGGAGAACCCAAGCTAAAACAAATAGGGATTATGTACTCATTTCAGCTGAAGAGTGGTTTAAATCCTAAATCTGTGTAAAGTGCGTAACAGTGCTTGAAACACACAGACACCCAGTCAATGTCAGTTCTAATCCTTAATCCAATTAAGCAGTCAAAGGAAGATAGGTTAGCACATAAAAGAAAATACCCAGCTCGTTTCACTGTTCTGGTACAGAGCCCCTAGCGCTGTCTGACTTGTTGGCCCCAGCGACAGGCTTGCGGGGCGTCTCTATCACCCTGGGAGCATCATTTGACTTCTAAGCTGCGTGTGCACCTGCACAATGAGGATGGCCTTGGGGCCCGCCTCCCACTGCTGACATGAGGGTTAATATACAGGGGGGTCATACGTAGAACCCCCTCGGATGACCCCCCCCTTGGAATAAGAACTGTTCAGAGGAAGCTCAACACATTGTAGCGATTACACAAGTGTAACTTCACCATTTGAAATTTCAAACAGTAGCTTCGATTTCTGTTGCTTTCTTTTAAAAAAATAAATAAACAACCAGAATGCCAGAACTCAAATAAACCGAGAGGCCATGTGACCTCATCTTTTATCTTTGTCAACTAACTTTAGGTTGCAGCCTGTACATTTTGGACATTATGTCGCTTAGATTCTGGGTACTGTTAGAATCTCCCAGAGAATGCCATTTATTATTTTGTTTTGTTTGGGCCATCATTCAGGGTGCTAGTTACTTCTCGCCTTTTGTGGGCAATGAGATGGCAGTTCAGAAGTTCGAGGCAATGACAGAGAGGTGAACCGACTTGGCCAAAGCCGCTTAGGAAGATAGAGCCGGGCTGGCTGCCAGGCTTCCTGTTCCTAGTGTTCTTTCAAAGACACGCGCCTTCTCTGGACTTCACCTTAACCTCCCGGGCTCTCACTTCCCCCTAGGCAGCAGTGGATAAGCAGAAAGTACTCAAGCTGATGCATGAACCAGTCTTGTGATGGTTCCCTGTCTGAACTCTGACCTTCTCTGGTATCTGTGCTGTCGATCAGAGTGAAGCAACAGAGACAGGGCTTCTGTCTTCCATTCCTGTTAAGGAGTGACCACCGCACCAGAGGCCAACACATCATACGCTTCCTATACATTATTACATTGCGGCTCATTAAGCCAAGGGGCATCTAAGCCTCTGCCATGCTCTTTACCATTTCCCCCTCACGCATGAGCCTTGGGAACAATTGATAGGGTCTATCTAAATATTTTCGGAAAATTTGCTTCATTTTATTTTGGTCATTCAGCTAACATTTGGTTTCGAAAATTCAAAACACTGTATTTCAAACAGTTCTCTAGTATTTTCTTGTCCTTTGTATGTTTGTTTGTTTGTGGATAAATGCAATTGACAGGACCAGATTTCTTGGGTTCCAATCCTGGCTCTCCTTCTTGTGAGCTGTGTGGTATTGATCTCCCCGGGTTTATTCCCTCATCTAGAAAATGAAACACAGAATAGTCCTCCCCCCATGGGGTTTGTTTGAGTATTTGAAGAGTCGGTGTATATAAGGTGTCTGGAATAGTATCATTGTTCTCACAGTTTAAAAGATTTTGTTTTCTTGGATTTTAAGCAACCACAGATAGTAGAAAACAACAGGTAGTAGTAACTTACAAGAAATGTGACCGATCTGTTCTTTTTTTTTTTTTTCTTTCCTGGGCTAGTCCACATTCTGAAAGATTTTCTGTTCTTTTTGTTTCCCCAAATCATTTTTCCCTCTTGCTTTTTGAGCAGAATCTGTTTTTCCTATTGGAGAGAACCAGGTGGGTTCCAAATCCCTGTTATTTGAACTTTATTTTTTCTATTCTTTGTGCCTATTAAGGATTTCAGGAGTGCAGGGTTTAGGAGTAAAGTCCTAGAAAAGAATGCAAAGAGACCAGTCTTATTTCTAAATTATGATCTTTAAGAAGTATACTTAAAAAAAAAAAATCTAACACTGGTCTTTTGTTTTGTTTTGTTTTTGATTTTAAGAGAATGGGCACTGGGCAATGGATCTCAGGTTTTAACCATCCTAACAAAAGATTTCCACAGCATCATTCCTGAGAGTGGGAGTCTATGGCACAAAGACCAGTGTCCTTCCCTGGTGGCAAAGATGAGTTGCATGAGGGTCTCTGGCTCACTGGTAATGGGCTTTGTGCCCTTGTCCCCCAGGAACAGCACAGAACCTTGTGTAGATGATTCATGTCAACACTCTGGCTCAGAGATGATCAGGCTCACTCTGAGGTTAAAAGTTGCCCTTGGGATTCAAGGTAAAAATCTCAAGCTGGTCTCCAGTTGTTTTCCGTTGGTTTGATTTATACAGAATTATTGTAACTTACATTCATAAAATGTACAAATCTTAACTGCTCAGCTTGAAAGATTTTCACATATGAGCACACACAGGTAGCCCCCACCCAGATCCAGACATAGAACCTCTCCATCTCCCCAGAAGGATCCTCCCACAGCCTCATGTATTCCTAGGGGTGACTGCCATCCTGACTTCTGTCATCATAGATTCAATTGTGCCTGCTTTTGAACTTTATATAAATGAAATGCTAAAGGAGATACTCTTTTATGTCCGGCTTTTTTCACACAGCAATGTATCTCTGAGATTCATCCAGTTGCATCAGGAGCAGCAGTGTGCTCTTTTCCATGGAATGAATCTTCCATTGTCTGAATTCCATTTTCTGAATTCCATTCTACGAATATATGCTTCTCTCCATTCCACTGGGATGGGCCTTTGGATGGCTTCCAGTTTGGGGCGATTATGAATCACGCTGCTATCCGTGTTCATGTACAGTCCTAATTAATGATTGGCATGACTTTTGCCCCCCTTGGTGACCTCATTCTAACAGGGTAGTGGTCACTTATAACCATGAATGGGGCTTGTGTGACCTTTAGATAGAGAGGAATAAACAGGTGAATGTTTTTAAAGCGCCTTGACCTTGAGAATTAAGAGATCATTTACTTTGGAAAGCAATGTGATTGTTTAAAATAGCTGTGCAGCCTCAAGCAAGCCATTAGACGTCTCCAGATCTCTGCCCCCTCATTTGTAAAATAATATTAGTATTTTGCAAAAATAAAAGAGTTGTTGTAAGAATTAGATGAGCTAATAAGTAAAGCACTTACAGCCTAGCCCAACTGAAAGCTCAGTGTCAATTGCTATGATTGGCCTTTCAATGTAATGATCATTTAGGGTAAAGTCAAAGATGCTGTAACGTCATAGGGTTTATTAACACAACAGAACCAATATAAACCAAGTAGTTCGTTTCAGTGCCAGATGTCAAGTGAAAATGTTTATTCTGTTTTTCTTCTTACTTTATAACCTCTTTTGCTTCAACCTTGACTTCTATAGCTATATAAAGCTCTAAATTTAAGCAAAGATCGCCTGGATATAGAGGCGGAGGAAAAAATAAATAAAACTTGGGCTGGAGAAGCAGATCATTATGGGGTCAGCATTAACTTTGGCATGAGTTTTAACTTTCGGTTATGGGAAAATTGTTTTTCCCATGTTTGTGTATCCGGCTTAGATTTCTCTTTGTTCCTGACCTTCTAATAATAGGTGGTAATTTGGATGCATTGTGATCTGAATCAATGTCAGGCATTCCCAAAGCCAGAGAGATAACTATTTCCAGTTTTATAAGGAAGCAGATCCATGGGCTTCCAAAACAGAATCACATTAAAGTCTCATAGTTGAGGTCTGGCTACCCAGGTAGCTTTGATGAGAACAGGCAAACATTTGAGATTGGAAAGCTGATGTTGAAAAAGCAGAGAGATTATGATTATATAAGTCATCATCAGTCTGGATCTCCAGATTTATGGTCACTTTACTGTCAGCCAAGAAAGCTACTTCATTGAGCAATCATTCAAAGAAAGAGGGAAAAATAATGCCTTCCACACCTAAAGGTATTTCCAAACATACAGAAAAGTTGCAATCATGTCTACCCTTTATCCTTATTCCCTGAACATTAGCTCTTTGTCATGTTTCATTCTCCTCCCTTCTCTTTGCACATGCATGCACACACATGCACATTTACACGCACACACATACACCCTTCTTTTTTCTGAACCATTTCAGAGTTAGTTGCAGACATTGTGTCCCTTTACCCCTAAATGCTCAGTGGGTATTTCCTAAAAACAGATATCTTGTTACAAAACTATAGGAAAATTACCACAGATTGAGTGTTCCCACTAGTACCTAACCTGCAGACTTTATTCAGATTTCATCCAGTGTCCCACTAATGCTCTTTATAGCAAATGAAATAAAAAATTTGGGGTCCAGAATTCAATCTAAGGTAATATGTGTATTTAGGTGAACTTATTTTCTCTCAAAATATTTGAAGAAATCTTAAATCTTCTCTCTTCTCTCCTTTAAAAAAAAATATTTATTTACCTGTCAAACAGATGATCAGTGGAGGGACTGGGTCAAAAGAATGTCTTCTAGAATATTCACCTGTGCTCATGAGGGAGGGGGCATAAAAGTAGTTAAAACAAAATCTATTTCATTGTATTGACTGTGCAAAAACAAAACAAAACAAAACAAAACACCAAAAAAAAAAAACCTGTAAGAATTTATTAGGGAAGATTCACTTTCCCCGGCTTTCCAGAAAATGTGCTGGAGTGTGAGGAGCAGTGGCACTGCTCAGTTTTGTTGGTTGGGCAGGTGTGAAGTGATAACCTGTCTGCCCAGTAGCCAATGCAGAGTTGCAGATGTCCATTCTGAGAAAGCAGACCTTGCATTTCTTCTTCCTTCAGACAATGGTCACAGTAGCTGTACTTTCTTTGGCAGATGTGGTGCTGGAAAAAGCCATGCACAAGTGCATCTTAAAACCCCTCAAGGGGCATGTGGAGGCCATGCTGAGGGACTTCCACATGGCCGACGGCTCATGGAAGCAACTCAAGGAGAACCTGCAGCTTGTGCGGCAGAGGAACCCCCAGGAGCTGGGGGTCTTTGCCCCAACTCCTGATATTGTGGACGTGGAGAAAATCAAAGTCAAATTCATGACCATGCAGAAGATGTATTCACCGGAGAAGAAAGTCATGCTGCTGCTGAGGGTCTGCAAGCTTATTTACACTGTCATGGAGAACAACTCAGGTGAGTTGCCCAGGCTTCTGGCACTTCCCACCAGGGCCAGGGACGTGGCCGGGGACATGTCAAGCTCTCCGATTCCCAGTTCCTCTTTGTTTTGATCTCTTGATTTCACCAAGCAGCTCACAAAAAATACAAGTGTCATGCTGGTGTCTGGCAAATTGGTCACTTGCAACAGATGGGTATTACCAAGAAAGGTAGCTGTTGAGGCAACAAGATTCTTGTATGATGCCAATTTGTTAAAGATTTAGTTCAGGGCAGTGGATGCGGCTTCAGTCTCTGGAGACTGAAGTCAAATCCTAACTCTGTGAATGAGTTCATTAACTATGGGGCTTTGGCTCCCTTAATCTACTTCTAAACTGAAGTTTCTATACCTGTCATTGAATCTGACCCTGTCCTTCATAAAGCGGGGATTAGATGAGGCAATGCAGGCATAGCCCCAAGCACGATGGAAATATTAGCAATTATCATTACTACATTTTGGCCAGTGAGGTTTTGTGTCAATGATCTACGTCCAGCATGGGTCAAACACGGAGCAGTCAATAATGATAATGACTTCAGTACAACCATTTCATTGGTTCTCCCTTATTTGCTGAAGCAATGTCATTGAATTCACAAAAGAATTACATGGTTCGAAAGTAAGTCCTCGGATTTCCTCAGTTCTGCTTCTTATAGACCCAGGAGTCACCATGATTCATGGCTAGTGATTGGACCCTGCATAGTACTGGGGTTTCGGTGAGCTTGTGATTGACTTTTCCTCTAAGTAAAATTGCTTCATGGAAAAGCAACAGAGAAAAAACACAGGCTGTATTAACCACCACTTGGGTAGATGGGAATGTGTGTCCACTTTGTACATTGTTGGGCAAAGACATTAAAATGTGAGCTCTTGAGCCGGTCCTGATAGCGTATGAACATCACCTCTGAAATTCGCAAACATATTTCACGTACAAGAAGGGTATTTTCTGTAGTTCAGACAAGCATTTGTATAAGTTCTAAAATGGTGTCTGCACAGGATTGTGCTCTTCTGATGCACAGTTTCTCAGCCTTAGCACTAATGACATTTAAAATGGATAATTCTTTATTGTGGGGGCTGCTTCCTGTTTGGAGTTTATCGGCATTCTGGATGTCATTTGCACCCTACCCTCTAATCATGACAAAGAAAAATGTCTCCAGACAATGCCAGCTTCCCCTGGTGGGGGCACAGTCACCCCAAGTTGAGACTCACTTATATAATGAAAAGTAGCAATAAGGGCTAAAAAATTTTTTTGCAATGTATTAATTGTATGTATCTATTTGACATATACTGAATTTGCACATTTAAATAAATTAACTGTGTGCTCACATTGAACAGAGCGCAAAGTTTTTTCCTGGTCAGAGTTTGGTCCTGTCATTATGTTGATGATTAATTTCCACAGAAAGCAGTGAGCAGCACAGTAGAATTCACAAAGGATTAACATAGTAAGTAGATATTTAGTAAATGTTTTATAATACTACTTGCCGAAAGTTAAACTATTTGCAAGTACTCTGTTCTGTTGCATAACTTGATGCATGTCATGAAAGCATGGAGAAAATCTTTCATGTGTCCATTGACTCGCAGACATTTCATTCTGAAATTGTATGTTAGGGCTGGTCTCTGACATGAGCAGCCAGGAGGGTCACAGGCTGCATAGGATTCCAGAAACACCCCACCTCTGTTTATGAATAACACATTTCCCCAGATGACTCCTAGCTATCTAATAAAACAGTATGCGTAGGCTATGAAAGAAAGAAGTGTTGGTAAAAATATTCCCATCTTCCCCTTTCTTCCGATCCCAGGGAGGATGTACGGAGCTGATGACTTTTTACCAGTCCTGACCTACGTCATAGCTCAGTGTGACATGTTGGAACTTGACACTGAAATTGAGTATATGATGGAGCTCTTAGACCCGTCGCTGTTACACGGAGAAGGTAACAATCGCTTGAAGCCATGGAAGGAACTGGGGTGCCTTTTTTTTTATTTTGTTTTCATTTTTTTTTCTTGAAGTGAAATTCACATAGCAGCAGATTAGCTATTTTAAAGTGAACTATTCAATGACATTTGGTACCTTCACAGTTTTGTGCAGCCCACCACCTCTCTTTTGCCCCAAATAAAATAATAGATTTTCATCACCCCAAGATAAAACCCCATGCCCATTCAGCAGTCATGGGAGTGCTTTTTTGACATTGTAATGGTTAACTATGGTTTTAATTTTTTTTTATTATTTAAAAGAATGTGCTGACTCTTTTCTAATTATAAAAGTAATTCATATTCATTGTAGAAAATATAGGAAAGTCAAAAAACTAAAAAACAGAACTGGACCATAAATATACTTCACCAAGATTGGTTAATTGCGATAAAAAAAATACTCAATAGAAAAAAAATGCCATTTTTAAAAAGAAATGGTTTCCTTAAGGAAGAAGGAAGGTATAAACCTTTATGAGAGAATATGTTCACTACCAGAAGAATATCCTGTTGTTCTATCAGTGAGACGGATGAAGGCTGGCCTTTTGTTTTCATCTGTTTAAAAAATTTTGTTCTCAAGATGAAAACAGCATTGATTTTCTTTTCTATTTAAATAATTGTATCTGCTCACTGCTAAAATACAAATGCAGTGGAGTAAAGTTGCTTTCAACTTACCTTGTCAGTTCGGTCTCCATCTTGTACCTGCCTGACCCCAACATGTCTTAGCAGAAGTTCCTTCTCCTTGCACATTGGTTAGGTATTTTATCCTGGAAATAATTGGGATGTTTGTCATTGTGGTGCACAGCCTTGGAAAGCAGAAATAACTGGGGCTCTTATGTGAGCTTGTCTTTTTAAAGGAGAACGAATCAGAGTCTTTGCATTGTGAATTCCATTAATTCATTTTCATGAGCCCAGATGGCCCCTGAGTGGTGAATTGTTGCATAGAACTGTTTTTGTTTTTTGTTTATTCTTTTCTCTGCTGAGTTTTAGTCTGGCCTTAAGTAAAAAGGTCCATGTGCTGATTGGATTCTGCAGGGTATGTGTCATACCGGGATTTTCCTTCCCTGGAGGGAAACTGAAGTGCACTGTCACCCCCAGAATGTATCTCTTAACCCCCTAAGTCCTCAGTGCTTGGCCTTTTTTTCCAGAGGGTCTGTCCTCCCTGGAGCCCCCAAGGTACAAGGTATACCCTTCCCACTCCTTGAGGGATAGTGCTGACTCAGGATTAGTGATGAATATCTTTTCATCCTAGTCCCCCACCCCAGAGAGATATAAATGAACTTCTTTGATCCCTTTAGCCTCTCCCCCATTTACCCCTCCCCTCACTAATATTCATCACCCTGGAATCAGACATTCCATGATGAACCCCCAAGATCCTGCCTGGAGCTTTCCTCGCCTGTTCTGGGATTTAACAGGAGAGGGGAAAACGTGTGGTTTTGTCCGAGGACCAATAGAAGCATACCTTAGTCTCCATGCCCTGCTTTCTCTTCTTCTACTGCATTATTATTACAATTTCATATGCGTCTGGCTGTTTTTTTAGTTTTAGTTGTTTGGAGCTCTAATCATGCTTAATTCTAGGAATGAGTAGGTCAAACTCTTGGGACTTTGGGGAAAGGGCATGTCGGTTTCACTCAGAAAATTACCATTCTGTAGCTGACAATGTATACTTAGGACAAACATATGCTTACATCTTGTGGCCCGAGGACTGAGACAGCCCCTTCCTGCCACCCGTCCCAGCATTTCCCCAGAGCGAGGCACTGCCCTGGGCACCTGTTGGTGACAGATGGGCAGGTGGCTGTCCTCACCTCCAGGAATCACATAAGAGAGAAAGACGAGGACCCAGAGAGTGAACGTTTGGAGCCGCCAGTGAGCTTGCACTTAAACTAGAGCCCGCCTCCACTTACCGTCTTGGGCTTCTTGGCTTCTTTCCTTGGGAAAACAGGCCAGCCCAGTCGGGTTGGCTGCAGTTACAGACCCGGCCTGCACGTCAGGGACCTGAAGCTCTGCAGACCCAGGGGGAAGACATGCGTTACCAACCCAGCCCTCTGTGGCCTGCCCAAAGTCTTCTTTGGTTTTTGGGGCAGCAGCCCACGTCTCTTTTCTGCTGTTTAAGCAGGTAGTTTCATTTACGGAAAAGGCGTCACAGAATCCCTCTTAAGTGAACAGCACTTGTGGCAGGGTTATAGTTTTGCTGAAATGTAACCCTTCCTCTAATTGTATCCACATGTTTCAAAGTGTGGTCAACATTGGGCTTCCAGAATTTTGAGTTTTCTCCTTAGTGCCCTGGACAGATCAGAGCTCTGGAGTCTAAAATTTGACATCCAAAGGGAACACCCTCCCTCCCAAACTTGACTGTAATGGTCCCTCCAAGCCCTACCTCCAAAACTGACACCTCTACACAGCTTTATGTGAACGTTTACGTCCCTGCTGATTGCTCTTGAAATCCTCTGTGTAGCATTTAAATTCTGTACCACCGAGTTTCACACTCAGCCGTGTGCTGATTTGTTAACGGGGCAAATATTAGTAAAAATCAGCTACTCAGAACTCTGTACTAAGGTGTGGGAGGTTCCATAGGGAACTTGCACTCAGGTGGTGGGGCCTTTAAGCTGTCCAGGGAACTCGAAACAAGTATCCTGTTGTGTGCATGGGACCTGTATTGCCCAGAGTGGGCTAGGTGATGCTACACTAAGATATAACCCCCCATATCTCCGTCAGTGACCTGAAAACCACAAAGGTGTGTTCCTCTCTAAGTTACACGTCTGATGCAGTTTGCGGGGGCTGTGCTCATTTCTCGGATGGTAGACCAGTTGCCACCTCAAACACTGTCATCACTTGGTGACAAGGGAGAGAGTTCTTCAGAGTCTTGCATTAGCAGCTAAACGCTTTGACCATGAACAAAACTCATTTAATCACAACTAACTTGGAATCCTGCATGAATAAACCCACTATACCTGTTTTCTTTAATTAATTCATAAACTTCTGTAAAGCAGGGACTCAGATTCTGTTTCTTACAAACCTGCCTCCTGCTCTATACCTGGCTTGGGCTCACAATAGAAATTCAATAGATATTTTGACAAAAGTGTCTCTCAAGTTAAAATATGGGGAGCCCAATTAGGGAATTTTTAATAAACATTCAGGGCGCCCCCTAGTGGTCCACTAGCGTGGAGCTTACAAGTTCACCAAAGGCATCTAATTACAGTTGAGGACCAAGCTATGAACCCACTTACATGCATCTCAAGGTGTTGCGAGGATTTTAACACTCACTAAACACAAGAAATCATTCGTTAAGTGCACCCACTTGCCTTCACTTGTGAATTAGTTTTTCCTAAATGTGTTACATTAGCCCCCAAGTAAGGGTAAAAAAGGGAATCAGGAAGGAAGAAGTTTGAAGAACCCATGTTATTGCGAACACACTTGTACACTGTGCAGTTCTCTTAAAGTGTTTAGTTTACTTAAAATTTAGGAAATACTAATTCCTAAAAGAAAAGCCCAAAGCAAGTATTGCCAAGAGATGTGGGGACTCCTGCTCAAGAAGTAAATGATTCTAGGCCCGGAGTGCTCGACTCCACTACCGTCGTGTGTCTCCCCGCCTCCGTCAGGCCTCAGTGCCCAGACCTTTCCCGATAAAGCACTTTCACAATTGACTGAAATAATCTAGAGATTTTGTATGTCTCACCCATCAGAATGGAAATTCCGGCAGTGAAAACGGGCGCTGTCAGCCTGGCCCGACGGCGCCCCCTAGCGCCGGCACAGGCCGGGGGTCCTCCAGTACATCCATAGGATGGACGGATGGATGGACGGACGGGCAGAGGAAGGTGGGAAGGGCGCGCGCTCTTTGACGCGAGCTTCTGGTCCCACAAGGAAATGCATATGGAGACAATAGGAAGCATGGCCTCTGATTCTGTTGTCCCCACCTGTTACCACCAGAGTATAAACCCCGGGATAACTCATTCTTTCTGCCCTTCCCAGGAGGTTATTACTTGACAAGCGCCTATGGGGCGCTTTCTCTGATAAAGAATTTCCAAGAAGAACAAGCCGCTCGGCTGCTCAGCTCAGAGACCAGGGACACCCTCAGGCAGTGGCACAAACGGAGAACCACCAACCGGACCATCCCTTCGGTGGACGACTTTCAGGTTCGTGGCTGGCAGTGGCAGCCTGGGTCCCGAATGTCACCCTGCCCTCCAGGGAGGCAGCGCCGGCTCCCACAGCTCACACGGCTCGGGGCGCCTGAGGTCCCCCCTTTGTCAGATCAGCCGGCGGAAAAGGGATATTTTCAACCACTCTCTGACCTTGTTGTTTCACTTCTCTGTTTTCTTTGAATTAAAATAATAATAATAATAATAATAATACATATGGGTTTGGCCCAAGTTTTGCTGCCCTTAAGAAAACAAAGTCAGATTAAGTCGAGATTTCTCCCAGAATGTTCTGCATGGATGGGGAGCACCTGAGCAGACAGAAAGTCAAAAAGAAGGAAGCCCTTGGCACAGGCAGTGGGTATTTTATTTTATCAGCTCGGCCGAGTGCAAGTAGCACTGTTAGGCACTGCAGTTGACCTGGTCTCCCTGAGAGGAGGGAGAGGTGATGTCTTCCCTATTCTTTCTTTTTCTCTCCCGCCCCCCTCAAGACGGAAGACTCCAGAATCTCACGGGCAGCATCAGCTCCGGCAGCCAGGCGGGGCCAGAGTTTCAGAGTAAGCATCTGAAAGAAATCCTACTTGGATCCCCATCCAGAGTTTTCCATGGCCATGAGCTGGAAGTGTGGGGTTCCCAAAGAGCTGGGTTCTCAGGGACAAAAGGCAGATTAAGGCGGTAGACTTCTTGCCCAACACAACTCTTGATTTGCTCATAGTCAGTGACATTATGAATAAGTCCGCAGATGTCTTTGAATAGTGTTTTCAAAGTTTCGAACCAGGTTATAAAACCTGACTAGGTTCTGTTTCTGTGTGTCACGTGGGGAATTTCCAAGCAGGACAGATTAGTCTCTACGTCCAGAATCACCTTCCTTGCCTTTTTGTCTTCTCGATGCTCTGAAAATACTCAGAGGTTCAAAGTCAGCCCATCGTGGAAAGGCAAGATCAGCAAGTCTTTCTCCAAGATAGCACTGTTCTCAGAAATACGTTCCCAAGAGCATAAACCTAAAAAGAATGCCTACTGCACTCCCACCCCCACTCCCTTGAAAGGGTTGTTGAAGAACTATGCATGTGTTAAATGGTTTAGCATATGCAGGCTCTTGGGATACTGTGATACTGGCTGGGTGTCAGGAAAATTCCTGAGGTCCTACAGCCTCTGAGGAGAAGAACAGAAGAAATGAGAAAAGCTCATGTTTCCATCTCCCCGCCTGCATCTGGAGCTTCTAACCTGGGACCCCCAGATTCCACAGAGCTCCTCCCCACTGGCCTTCCTCATCCGGGATATACACACCTTCCTAGAATATAACCCAAGAGAGGAATTGTCTGTCAGTGCTCAGCTCAGTTGTAAAAGCGAAAACGCAGAAGCAAAGCTCTGCTTGGAACTCCTAAATCAGGGTCACGGACACACATGATGGTCTCCTCACATTGGAGAGACGGCACACCACGGTGGTGAAGACTCTAGAACACTGGCTTTCCCACTCATGAGCTGTGTGTCCTGAAGCAAGTTACTTGTCTTTTCTGTGCCTCAGTTTCTTCTCTGGTCAACTGGGGATGGTGTAGACTTCCTTACCAAGTTCTCTTCAGGTGTCAGTGGGTTAATGCAGACCGAGAGCGTGAGCCAAGTGTTGGGGGCATTGGGATGGGAGAGGAGGGGGTTGGTAAGATGGAACATGCGTATACTCCAGTGTGTTCAAATTCAAGATTGTCAGAGCCCTCTTACACGTGCAGAGCTCGGTGTCCTTCCCAAGGGCCTTTCCTTCCACCCACCCAGTAAACCCTCAAGGTAACCACGTGGGACTCTGGGCCGAGAGCATCATTTCCCTTCACTCTGGGGCACCAGATTTAGGAAAGGGGAACGTATTTGTTTTCTGTCTGGGCATTCTCAGTGTTATCTGGTCACCTCATTCCTGGTGAAGTGGAAAATGAGAAGGATCCTGGAGAGCCTGGGATGAGCGTAGGGTTCTTGATAGCAAACCCGGGCTTGGCGCATGTGAGGTCACAGGTTGATGGTCCGTCTGGATGGCAGGTGCTGGCGCTGTTCGCAGAGCCCCGCCTGCAAGAATTCCCTTTCATTTCCCTGCAACAACCCCTGCCCTCAGTCAGCTCCATCCCCAGAGCCTTGTGGCCGACTTTTGCCACATTGCCGTCCCCCTGGAGCTCAGATGAGGTTGAACCACCTGGAATTGCCACTCGGGGAGGTGAAAAATGGTCAAACATCAGCAGTCTCTTGTGGTCCCGGGGAACATTCTTGCCTTTATTTAGGCGTCATTAGAAGTAGTCCAAAGTGAGCCCAGTACGTGCTCTTGTGTCCTCGTGTTTTAAACGTGACTTCCGGTGCGGGCTCTTTTGCTGGCTGGTTTACTTTTCAGGCTGGGGATAAACCCAGCATCAGATCCGGATCCCACCCTTAACCGGAGCTTTCTTAGCCTGGCTTTCTGGGGGACACTAAAAGATCAGAACAGGCCTGCTGGACTTCCTGCTCCTTGTATTTATTTGCAGCACATCAGAATACAGCCACTCAGTCCGTATAGTTCTTG